GGTGCCTTAGCCACTTGAGCCACAGGCGCTGAGGCAAGCCAAAAGATTCTAAAGGCAATACATAGTTAACTGGATCACGTGCAAATTCCTTCACAAATTCCTCCTATGAGCCTGATTCAACCTGCACAGACAATTTACAAATATTTTAAACCTTCTGGATTACCCTATCACTTTCTTTAATAACCATTCTGTATCAGGACAAAATTTACCACAGAAGATCCTTTTCTTACACAATGCCATTTTCCTTTCTGTCTAATTTTTCTTACTCTCAAAAAACCACTTTTCAAGCTGGGCACTGTAGGTCAGTGGTTAGGGCACTGGCCACATGCTCTGGGGCTGATGGGTTTGAACCCAGCCCAGGGTTGCTAAACAAACAAACAAAAAATGGCTGGGCACCTGTAGTCCCAGCTACTAGGGAGGCTGAGGCAAGAGAATAGCTTAAGCCCAAGAGTTTGAGGTTGCTGTGAGCTATGACACCACAGCACTCTACTGAGGAGGGCAAAGTGAGACTCTGTCTCAAAAAAAAAAAAAAAAAAAGGAAATGAAAAGAAAAATTAGCTAGTGGCACTTTGTGTACTTTGCCAGGGACACAGATAAGAGATAAAAAGCAACGGAGACTGGCTCCGCTCTCTCGTAGAGACGAAGAAAGGGTCAAGTTTGCAGCGTCCCACTGTAGAGGCTGACACTGCTACCACTGAGGGATGACTTGCAGGGTAGGATGCAAGAGAACAAAAGGGCCTTTGTACTCTCTCTCTAAACATTAGAATTTCCCTTTCTACTCCTTAAGCCAGGTCTGTAGGGCTTTGGCCCTCTGTACCCTAACACTCACTTTCAGATTTACAGTTCTGGCTTGAGGGAAACCAGAGAGGGAAAAATGGTAGACTCATTACTGGTTCAGTAGTACTTCAGATTCCACAGATCTTCCCCAGTCCACCTCCTACTATTTTCTTTTCTGAGTCTTTGAATAGCTGCTGCACATAATCACTGTGGGAAAACCACAGTAGTACATACTTACTCCATCTTATCTGGAACCAGGCCAACTTCAGATTTTGGAATAGAAATACTCAACCTGTAGTACATTTTTTTTTTGAGACAGAGTCTCACTTTGTCGCCCTCAGTAAAGTGCCATTGTGTCATAGCTCACAGCAATCTCAAACTCTTGCGCTCGAGCAATTCTCTTGTCTCAGCATCCCAGGTAGCTGGGACTATAGGCATCAGCCACAATGCCCAGCTATTTTTTTGAGATGGAACTCACTCTTGCTCAGGCTGGTTTTGAACTCGTGAGCTCAGGCAATCCGCCGGCCTTTGCCTCCCAAGTTCTGGGATTACAGGTGTGAGCCACCTCGCCAGACTCAACCTGTAGTATTTTTAACATAAGAAAGAGGGGTTAGGTATGGTGGCTCACACCTGTAATCCTAGCACACTGAGAGGTCAAGGCAGCCTGAGTTCTTGAGCTCAAGAGTTTAAGACCAGCCTGAGCAAGAGCGAGACCCCTGCCTCTACTAAAAATAGAAAAATTAGCCTGTAGGCTCAGTGCCCATAGCACAATGGTTACAGTGCCAGCCACAAACACTGAGGGTGGTTGGTTCAAACCCGGCCCAGGCAGCTAAACAACTGCAACAAAAAAATAGCCGGATGTTGCGTGAGATTGCTGCGTGAATCGGTGCCACAGAGGAAAAGTCTGCACTGAAATGTCTATAAGAGGGGAGACTGCTAATTACTCTGGCAAAACAGCCCCTAACTTTATTTCTTGCAAGCTTATATAGTCTTAACAATACTAAGTTCTGCACATACACATTCTAATAATAAAACTAATTGGCAGCCAATGGTTTATGTAAGAGTACAAAGAAGCCATAAAGAGCAACCATAAAAACTTATTCAGGGCAGCACCTGTGGCTCAGTGAGTAGGACGCCAGCCCCACATACCAAGGGTGGTGGGTTCAAATCCATCTGCGGCCAAACTGCAACAACAAAAAAAATAGCTGGGTGTTGTGGTGGGCACCTGTAGTCCCAGCTACTTGGGGGACTGAGGCAAGAGAATCACCTAAGCCCAAGAGCTAGAGGTTGCTGTGAGCTGTGATGCCATGGTACTCTAACAAGGGCAACAAAGTAAGACTCTGTCTCTAAAAAAAATAAAAAACCCAAACAAAACTTATTCAGCCATTTGAGAAAACAGGTGCAACTTGTAACTGAAATGTGCATTAACTTATCTTGTTTCTCAGCTCTCAAGGTCCCTTCCAGGACATTCCAGAGACAGCCAGACTCTGCTTTCAGGGTCTACCTCCAGCATGATTAGCTTTCTAATCAATTCAGAGGGTCTTAAAGGAACATCTCTTCATGTGGACTCTGAGAAGGCTTCTTTAAACATAAGTCAATGGCACTTGAAGTTACGTTGCGGTTACACGAAGTGTTGAGGTTACACCAGGCATTGTGGCAGGCGCCTGTAGTCCCAGCTACTTGGGAGCCTGAGGCAAGAGAATCACTTAAGCCCACAAGGTTGTTGTGAGCTATGATGATACTGCACTCTACCTAGTCTACCTTGAACAATAGCTTGAGACTCTGTCTCAAAAACAAACAAAACATTTTTTTTTATTTTGTGGAAGCAAAAACAGAAATTTTAAATTAAAGGATTTCATATAAACACAAAAAGCACATTCTCCATGTAGGCAAGTTTGTTTCCTAATTACTAAAAATGGCATTTATTAATGAGCACAGCTTAGCAGAAAAGGCAGGCATAACCTGTAAATAATCACTACTTTAGAATTATGAGTTGCTGGGCACAGTGGCTCACTCCTGTAATCCCAGCACTGTAGTAGGCTGAGTTGGGAGAATTACTTGAGCTCAGGAGTTCAAGACTTGTCAGTGAGATACTGATTCATAAAAAAATGGAAGACCCAGTGGGGTGCTGAAGAGAGCACCTGTAATCCCAGAAGCTTCTGGAGGCTGAGGCAGCAGGATGCCCACAGGCACAGTCTGAGTTTGCGGTGAGCTATGATGCCATTGCATTCTGCTCAAGGCATAGGGCGGAGCTCTGTCTCCAAAAAATAAAAAAATAAAAATAAAAACAAAATAAAATTATGAGAAAACTTCTAAGACCTGGTTCCTAATTCAAGGAAACAACCCTGCCATCAACATACAGCTCAGAAGGCTAACAAACATGAAAAAATGCTCATCGTCCCTAATTATCAGAGAAATGCAAATCAAAACCACCCTACCACCTAACTCCAGTGACAATGGCCCACATCACAAAGACTCAAAGCTGCAGATGCTGGCATGGTTGTGAAGAGAAGGGACAGAATACTTTTGCACTGATGGAGGGACTACAAACTAATACAACCCTTTTGGAAGGAAGTATGGAGAACCCTCAAAGAACTCAAACTATACTTCCCATTTGATCTTGCAATCCCATTACTGGGCATCCAGTAGAAAAAAAATCATTTTACCGTAAGGATATTTGCAAGACTGTTTATTGCAGCTCAATTTATAATTGCCAAATTGTGAAAACAACCTAAATGCCCACCAATCCAAGAATGGATTAACAAGCTATGGTATATGTATGCCATGGAATACTATACAGCTACTAAAAAGGATGGTGACTTTACATCTTTAGTATTAATTTAGACAGAGTTGAAATATATTCTTTTTAGAAAAGCATCACAAAAATGGAGAAGCAAGAATCCAATGTACTCAATTCTGATATGAGGACAATTGATGCTAGTACATAGGAGGGAGAGGGGAAATGGGGGGGGCCACGGTGTGTGGTGTTTGACACACTTCTTGAGGGCGGGACACTATTAATAGAGGGACTTCACCCAGCAAATGCAAGCGGTATAACCTGGCTCATTGTACCTTCAATGATCCTCACCTCCACAAAAAAATACAGTACTAACAAAAAATAACAAGCTAAAACTTACTTTCAGTATTCCTAGGCTTACTTTAGACAAAATGAATATAATGTATTTCATCAAGAAATCAGTAATTCTTAAGAAGTTAAAAACACCAACAGAGGGCAGTGCCTATGGCTCAGTGAGTAGAGCACCAGCCCCATATACCTAGGGTGGCGGGTTCAAACCCAGCCCTGGTCAAACTGCAACAAAAAAATAGCCGGGTATTGTGGCGTGTGCCTGTACTTCCAGCAACTCAGGAGGCTGAGGAAAGAGAATCGCCTCAGCCCAAGAGCTGTAGGTTGCTGTGAGCTGTGATGCCACGGCACTGTACTGAAGGTGACAAAGTGAGGCTCTGTCTCTAAAAAAAAAAAACAGAAACAACATGTGTTTATGTAATATTTATTGACTTCTCTGAAACATGCCAAAGTTCATATAGTTAATAGAACTTACTATGCTAACATGTTGCTGAACGTAACAAATTTCTCCACAAGTTAGTCTAAGATTAAAGTTACTCATTTTAATAGTGAGGAATCAACATGTGACGATTACATTTAGATGCTAAAACTCAGCTTACAAATGTAAGAAAAATATCAAATAATACACATCACACTTCTAGTTTACCAGAAAATACACATATAACGAACAGTTGTGACAGTCATGTTTAACACCTTGGTTAAGAAGAGAGAAAAAAGTGAGCAGGGGGTGTCACAGAGGTATGGGAAGATTCAATGGTTCAAATAATCTTTAGCCCTTCTGAGAAACTATAGGTGAGAAATATGTAGTAAATACTTCTGTAATGTGGTGGTTTCAGTACATTACAGTGATCATCATTCCTTTCATGCATTCAAATAACTGCTGTTGCTTTTAAGTACTGAAAGCCAGATTTTGCAAAGTTTGTTACTGCTCAACAAGCTGATACTATAAATCCCTTACACTATAAATTACAGCTTAAAGCTGGAAAGGTTAAAGAAAAGCATACTTGTTATTCATAATTACTTTTTAGGTATAATGACTACACTGCTACACACAGTCAGGTATATTATGATGCACAGTTAATTCTAGTTACCGTATTTTACGTTTACTGGTCATCAACAGCACAAATCTTATTCTCCAAAAGATATATATATCAATCTAACAAAATGGTTACATATCATTTTCTTTTAAAGACAGATCAACTAAATTGATGGAAGAATTGGTTTTTCTTGATATCTCATTTTCAAATTACTGATACAAATTTATCAAAGAATTATATATTTTACCCAACATCAAATCCACAAGTTTCCAAGATAGATACAATTCTTGTTCAATTTCCAAAAATACATAAAGGCTTTCTAATAGAAAGCATTTACATTTCTAGCTCTCTAAACTAAACATTAACAAGAAAATACAAAAAAATGATCTCTTGGTTTTTGAATAGTCCATTTCGTTACACACAGTATTTTCTGTTTTGACATTTTCTCAAATTCAAAAGATATTTACTTCCTAAGAACACGACAAACAGAATCTTCATTTCAAACCAGTCATTCTGTTTCCATGGTAACATTCCGGGACTCCTTGGCTACCATAAGTCTCATTAGCTGACTGTGGAATTTCTCAATCTTCTTAACATCTTGAGCTTGGTCTGTTCTATACATCAAACACTGTGAGAGATTTAAAAAGTACACATTAACAGTGTAAAACCACATATGGGCAATATAGAAAAGATATAATTGCCTAAAAATTTCAAAGTCTTCCTACCACTGTTTTGCCCTACTCTCTCTGGGGACCATATTATGGAAATTGTACTCAAGTTTCCAAGCCTCCAGCAATTGCATTCCATATAGTACAGTATTTTAGATGTTACTGGTATAGATTAAAAACTAACTGAAGTCTATCAGAAGCTTCTCAAAAATGACTAGTTAAGTAATGCACAAAATCTTGCCATGGTCTGATGGGAAAAATTCCAGGCTTAGAGTTAGATTTTTTCTCCTTGAGATCTGGCCAAAAAGTAGCTGAGTTATGTCAGAAAAAAGTTTAAAAATCTTAGGATCCCTCTTTATACTAGTGAAATAGGGTGTTAAATAACTTTTTTTTAAATCCCCTCCCTATAGCTAGTCAACATCTAAATTAAATCAGACAGATGTGTTCAATCTTGACTTTAGAAGGTGTTTATTGTAATTTTTAAACCAAAGATTTGCTTTTTGTGGCCAGGCACATGTCCCTTATACCTATAATCCCAACATTCTGGGAGGCCAAGGTGGGAAGACTGCTTGAAGCCAGAATTTAAGACCAGCCTGGGCAATATAGTCAGATCCCATCTATACAAAAATAAAATTTTAAAACTTAGCCAAGTGTGGTGGTACATGCCTGTAGTCCTAGCTACTTGGAAGTCTGAGGCAGGAGGATCACTTCAGACCAGGAATTGCAGGGTACAGAGATCTAACTGCACTTCAACCTGGGAACCGGTCTCCATAAAATAATAAAAATTAAAAAATATGGGGCGGCGCCTGTGGCTCAAAGGAGTAGGGTGCCGGCCCTGTATACCAGAGGTGGCGAGTTCAAACCCAGGCCCAGCCAAAAACTGCAAAAAAACAAAAACAAAAACTGACAATAATGCTAATGGATAACATATTAAATGCTGGATAGCAAAGATAGGTGGATAGCTTGAGCTTACGAGTTTGAGACCAGCCCGAGCAAAAGCGAGACCCCATCTCTACTAAAAACAGAAAAGCTGACGGAAGAGGATCGTTTGAGCTCGAGTTTGAGGTTGCTGTGAACTGTGACATCACAACATTCTGCCCCGGGCAACAGCTTGAGAATGTATGAAAAAAAAAAATTTAAATACAATAAACAGATTTGCTTTGGTTGATCATAAAACCATTTGTTCTAGAATCTTCAAAAATATCATCCTTAAGCTGGCAGCTTTTTCATTTGTAATACAGGTACATTTTCCTTTATGTTTTATTTATTTTTGTTTGTGGAGACAGAGTCTTACTTTGTCTCCTTGGTAGAATGCTGTGGCATCATAGCTCACAGCAACCTCAAACTCTTAGGCTCAAGTGATTTTCTTGCCTCAGTCTCACTCTTGCTCAGGCTGGTAAAGCCTCCGCCTTTCAAGAGTACTAGGATTACAGGCATGAGCCATGTGGCCAGGCGTGGTGGCTCACGCCTGTAATCTTAGCACTCTAGGAGGCTGAGGCAAGCAGATTGCCTGAGCTCACAGGTTTAAGACCAGCCTGAGCCAAAGCAAGACCCTGTCTGTAAAAACAGCTGGGCCTTGTGGTGGGCCCCTATACTCCCAGCTACTCAGGAGGTTGAGGCAAGATAATCACTTGAGCCCAAGAGTTTGAGGTTGCTGTGAGCTGTGATGCCACAGCACTATACTGAGGGTGACATAGTGAGACTCTTGTCTCAAAAAAAAGAAAAAAGGCTCAGTGCCTGTGGCTCAAGTGGCTAAGGAGTCAGCCACATACACCTAAGGTGGCGGGTTCGAATCCAGCCCAGGGCCCGCCAAAACAACAATGACAGCTGCAACCAAAAAATAGCCAGGCATTGTGGCGGGTGCTTGTGGTCCCAGCTACTTGGGAGGCTGAGGCAGGAGACTCACTTGAGCCCAGGAGTTGGAGGTTGCTGTGAGCTGTGATGCCATGGCACTCTACCTAGGGGGATAGCTTGAGGCTCTGTCTCAAAAAAGAAAGAAAAAAGAAAATGTTTACCTACATAACTTACATGGCAATCTTGTAAAGAGGCCACATTAATCTTCACCCTTTAAATTTTAGTATATGTGTTATGGGAAAATGCATTTAACTCTCACTATAGTTTGACAGGAAAAGATTTTAGGTTCATAGAAGACAATAGTAGAAATTAGTGATGAGATTAGAAAAATTATGCATACATGGGAGTATAAAAAGTCAAAATTATATGATAATAATAAATGAAGTCATTTATCTTTAAAAGAGCCATTAAAAAATAGATCTTCTTTTTGTTCTTTTTCAGACAGTGTCTCACTTTGTCAGCCTGGGTAGAGTGCCGCAGCATCATAGCTCACAGCAACCTCAAACTCCTGGGCTCAAGTGATCGTCTCACCTCAGCCTCCCAAGGAGATGAGATTATAGGTACCTGCCACAATGCCCAGCTATTTTTGAGACAGGGCCTTGCTCTTAGGCTGGTCTCAAACTTCTGAGCTCAATTAATCCATCCATCTTGGCCCAAGAGACTGCTAGGATTACAGGCGTGAGCCACTGCACCCAGCCCTTGCATTCTCTACTTTTATTTTATTTTATTTTGAGACAGAGTCTCACTATGTCACCCACAGTAGAGTGCCATGGTGTCACAGTTCACAGCAACTTCCAACTCCTGGGCTCAAGCAATTCTCCTGCCTCCACCTCCCAAGTAGCTGGGACTACAGGCGCCCACCAAAACATCCGGCTATTTTTTGGTTGCAGCTGTCATTGTTTGTTTGGCAGCTCGGGCTGGATTCAAACCTGCCAGCTTAGGTGTATGAGGCTGGCACCTTAGCCACTTGAGCCACAGGTGCTGAGCCCCTATTCTCTATTTTTAAAACAGGCCTGGTGTGGTCTCAAAAAATAAAGATTCAAGAATTAATCTATTGTATTTACCTGTGGCAAGCACTAATGCTAGCTGTCACATATTTTGTTTACTTTCCACAACAACCCTGTTAGATATGCAGACTATCACTGATACTTTATAGATGAGGAAAATGAAACCTCAGAGGCCCAACTTTTAACCTAAACATTTTCAAGGTCAAAATGCTAGTAAATGGCTAGGTTGGGACTCTAATCTCTTGAATAGCACACTATACCCCAATTCCCTCTTCCTTTTCACATGTTCAATTACTTTACCAGCTTCAACTGGTTAGGAGACATTAAAAGGTCTTACTTTATGAGAGAACTCTGAACACAAATATCGTATAATATCTGGCCAAAGGCAAAAGTGATTTTTCAAACCACACTATAAAATTTTCAAAAGCACTAAGTCTAGGCTCAGTGCCTGTAGCACAGGGGTTACATCGCTGGCCACATGCACCAAGGGTCGTGGGTTTGAACCTGCTCCGCGCCACCTAAACAACTACAACAAAAAAATAGCCAGGCATTGTGGTGCCTGTAGTCCCAGCTACTTGGGAGGCTGAGACAAGAGAATCACCTAAGCCCAAGAGCTGGAGGTTGCTATGAACTGTGACAGCACAGCACTCTACTGAGGGCGACACAGTGTAACTCTGTCTCAAAAAATTTTTTTAAAAAAGCTGATCTATTAGGGCCTGGCGCAGTGGCTCACGCCTATAATCCTAGCATTGGGAAGCTGAGGCGGGTGGATTGCCTATAAGCTCATGGGTTTGAGACCAGCCTGAGCCAGAGCAAGACCTCCACTCTAAAAGTAGTCTGGCGTTGTGGCGGGCACCTGTAGTCCCAGCCACATGGCAGGCTGAGGCAAGAGAAATCACTTGAGCCCAAGAGTTTGAGGTTGCTATTAACTATGATGCCAAGACACTCTACTGAGGGCACAAAATAAGACTCTGTCTCAAAAAAAAAAAAAAAAGAACTAATCTATTTGTCAAATGTTTACAGAGAGAGTACCCTCCCTCTGGGTCAAGACATCATACTAGGCACCGGAAGTATGGGTAAGAATACTACTGATCTATCTGTATTGTCTTAAAGCTCAAGAGTCTACTAAAAATATAAATCAAATTCTCACTTCTGAGAATCATTCTGGGCTGGGCACATTGGCTCACACCTTTAATCCTAGCACTCTGAGAGAGTGAGTATTGCTTGAGCTTAAGGGTTTGAGATCAGCCTGAGCAAAAAGCGAGACCCTGTCTCTACTAAAAATAGGGAAACAAAGGCATCGCTGGGCACCCATGCACAGTGCTTATCGCGCCAGCCACATGCACCAAGGCTGGCAGGTTTGAGTGGGGCTTGGGCTAGGTAAATAATAACTGCAAAAAAAAAAATAGCCGGGTGTTGTGGCGGGCCTCTGTCATCCCAGCTACTTAGGAGGCTGAGGCAAGAAAATCGCTTAAGCCCAAGAGTTTGGGGTTGCTGAGCTGTGATGCCATGGCACTCATACTGAGGGCAACACAGTGAGATTCTGTCTCAGAAAAAAGAAACTAAGGTGAGAGGATCACTTGAGCCCAAGAGTTAGAGGGTGCTGTGAGCTATGACGCCACAGCACTCTACCTAGGGTGACAGCTTGAGACTATTCAGACCAGGGGTCCTCAAACTTTTTAAACAGGGGGCCAGTTCACTGTACCTCACACCACTGGAGGGCCAGACTGCAGACCTCAGGACAAGCTGGCTGCTAAGCAGGACAGGCAGTGGTGGCAAAAACACCCGGCAGGCCGGATAAATGTCCTAGGTGGGCTGCATGTGGCCCACAGGCTGTAGTTTAAGGATGCCTGATTCAGACCATGCCTCCAAAAAAAATCATCTGGCAGCAGTACAGGCTGAATTCAAAGCAAGGATACAGGTGAAGACTATTCTAACAGTCTAGGCAAATCATGAGATCCTAAACTTAAAAGTCTAACAGTGAAGATGAAGTGTTCATAACATGAAACAAGATGAAGGTACCTGAATCGAAAATTCCAAATGCCGGCTCGGCGCCTGTGGCTCAAGTGGCTAAGG